CCCAACTCCCCATGACACAACTCACCCCATAACAAAGTTTGTGCATGCCCCACCCTCCAGATTGATGATGTACCAGATATTGTGAAAAGTTCCCAAACCAAGGTGGACCAGATTGATGCTGACATGATTGACAGGGAGATTGTAAGTACCGCCCCCACCCCTCGCAAACTAAAAATCAAGTTTAGTAGGTCAAACTGGGAACATGGAGTAAACATTAAATTCAGTGGACCAAATAACCTGTTGACCGATCTGTTCAGAGAATGCAATGGTTTTGTTTATGAAATGGAATGAGCATTTTTTTGGGAGTTTTCTTAATACTATCGGGCATGAGATTTTTGTTCCTCTTGTCATTTTTTAATTATTTAAATATTTTTTTAAAATGTCAATTTGTAGTGTTGCATGTTTTTAATCAACACCTCTCCTCCCAATTTCATACTTTTTGGTCCCCTCCCAGTTTCATACTTATTGGCCAGTGTCAACTTTCCTCAACCCAAACCCAACATTTATTTTCACCCTGACTTACATTTGTCCGTCGATCAATTTCATTTTTGATTATCAATTATTTCCAGCTTTATGTGCCCGAGAAAGTGTTGATCCCGGAACGTTACGATGCTGAGGCAGATGCTGAACACCTGACAGAGGAAGATAAGATGAGACGAAGGGAGAGAGGTGAGAGGATCAAGAGAGTGCTGGCCTCCCAGAGGTATGTTGGAGTATACATTTAAGGGTGTTTGATTAGATTATGTTTGATTTTCATTTAGATCATGTTGGATGTTTGTTTAGATCAGCGGTTCTCCACCTCTCAGGGGCTCCTCTGCCACTCCAGGAAATAAATCAGCACCTTTAGCTTGTAAGACATATGGTCGGCCTACGAGGCTCCCCCATAGAAATTGGTTCTAAAAAGGGATTTGTGAGCCAGAAAGGTTGGGAACCATTTGTTAAGATTAAGTTTTTGAGAAGTGGCCAGCATTGGGCAGTGGAGACATGATACATGTTTTAATTAATGAATTTCAAAGTGTGATTGTCAGATTGTCTTGTCTGCGTAGTGTGATTGCACTCTGATGATTGTAACAATTATCTTGATTGTTCTGCTGTTAGATTGTGTTGTCTGTGATTGCATTCTGGTGATTGTGACAATTATCTTGATTGTTCTGTTGTCAGATTGTGTTGTCTGTGATTGCACTAAATTGTCATATTGATGATACACATTGTATTGATGATACACATTGTATTGATGATACACAGTAAGTACATTACATTCTTTTTCCCCCCCCTCCCCTTTTTTTTTTCCTTATTTTTTCAACAGTGTGCTGTCACTGTCTCAGCAAGATGTCAGCAAGTTGCCTCCCGACAACATCCACAGACGAGTGGAGGAGGAGAAGAGGGAGAGGGCACATTACCTGACACTGAACCAGGAGTTGGCCAGACAAGTTACTTTACAAACCAAGAAGCAAGCAGGTTAGTTAGTTGATGTTGTTATGACTGTTGATATTATGACTGTTGAGACTAAGCTGATGTTATGACTGTTGAGGCTAAGCTGATGTTATGACTGTTGAGACTAAGCTGAAGTTATAACTGTTGAGGCTAAGCTGATGTTATGACTGTTGAGACTAAGCTAATGTTATGACTGTCTAGGCTAAGGTAATGTTATTACTGTTGAGACTAAACTGATGTTATGAATGTTGAGGCTAAGCTAATGTTATGACTGTTGAGATTAAGCTGATGTTATGACTGTTGAGGCTAAGCTAATATACATTTATGGTTTAGAAAATTTACTTTGCTTTTAAGTAATAGGATACAATGGACGCATCAACCTGTGTTGCCTGTTCTGATTTTTTAATTAATTTTATTTCATTGAAAGGCAACAGTCATGTATGCTGGGGGGGGGGGGGGGGGGTTAATTGTTGGTTAATTGTAATCACCAGTTGAGTGTGTACTGGAATGGTGGCAATGCATCAATTACAAGTAGCTGTTTGTTTTGTTTTGTTTTTCTCATTTTTTTTAACTCATTTGGTTTGAAGTAAATTTTTCTTTTTTCTTCAACTCATTCCATTATAGTAACAAGGTTTTCACTTTAGTTACAAGATAACTTAGAAATATTCTGCGCTAAATAAGTACCACAGAATGTTTATTTATCCATTCATTATTCATACAAGCTTGGCTGATTTACTTGTGGCATGTCAATTAAAGAATGAGTGACAAAATTATTACAGCAGTCAAAGAGAGAGATCTTTGATGGTCCCATCTTCAGCCAATGCTGGCTCAAAATAAGATATCTGCTTGTTTACTTGAATTTTCTGTTGACGATATGTCCCAGCATTACCATCCGATTTTCTTTTTTATTACAGCCGAAAGGAGAAAGACGTGGTCAGGTGCCCAGTTTGCTGAGGCCAAGCGGCAGTATGAGAAAAGTCCAGTTTAAAGGCCAAGAATCAAAGTAGTAATATATTAATTTTCCATCTATACCAGGGTACAACTCATAATTGTTATAGTGACACAAATACTTTATACATCCGACAGTCATGCTATTTATAAAATTATTTAAATGAGTTGTAAAATTTTAACTGTTCATGTTAACATACACGATGTATGCTCTAATGTTGGTGTCTTAAAGCTTTATTCTAGTTTCTTTACAAAACTCACTGCTGTCACATCCTATGCACTATTCTTTAGCTCTTCCAATAGGAAATACATTTTTATATATTACAATATCATTTGTCTGACCTTTTCACGTCTCCCAATGTTTCTGTCACTCAAGTATTAAATGTTTTTGTTTCATTCAAATTTTTTATGTCTCAAAATATTTATACAAACAACACATCTGAGTATAATTGTCTTCCATGTTGATTGTCAAAAATGTCATTTTCAGACATTCACACTAACATATCAAAGCTGTTGTTTTAAGAATCATTTTAATCAAAACATTTGTAATTATTTTCATTATGTCCCTTGGCCCATAATGATCAATGAAATGTTTGCCCGGTTACATCAATCATATTACTAAGTCCAATAGTAGCTTCCCTTGCAAGCCAAAAGGAGCTGCTTTGCCAAATTCAACATTGTAAATTTTTAGTACAATTAAAGTATAAGTATGTTGATTGTAGGATTGTTTACATTAATGACTTTATACATGTGTAATATAATCAAGCTAACTTTTAAATATGATATATCAGAATAGGTAAGATTTTGAGTTTAATAATAATTATATAAACTATATCTTAAAATATTATTATTATACTCATATTACTGTCAGCTAATCAAGACAAGGGCTCTGGTTCTAATGTTTGCGAGAAAAACGCAATTAGGTGCATTAAAATATTTTTAAAAAGCAATGCAAGACAGAGACATGTGTGACAACATTATGACTATGTTTGACTGACATAGGGCATGTAAAGGAGGTGAAAGGTTAAAGGTAATACCTCAATTATTAAAGGGATCTCAAACCTTCATTCTTCCTTCCTTGCAGTCTTTAAGGTCAGAAATTTTCCCCTTCATGTCTACAAGCTGTACTCTCATCATGGCAACTTACTCATATCACATCAAACATTCCTATACGTACTATATTATATATATTAATGGTTATATACTTGTATGTATTTTTAAAAAAAATATATTTACAAACACAAGGTTGTGAAAGAACTGATTTAGACTCAAGTTTCTTAGAAAATTTAGTTTGACGCAATTTGTATTTTAATATATTAAGTCTTTTTTTTTTTTAACCGTTTTTTATTTTTTTAAATTACTCTTTACCAATTTTTTTGTAAATTTGCTGTGCATGATTGTAAAGGTAGATCCATCTATTTTACTGTACCGGTAATAAAAGTATTTGGTGACAAATTTTCATGTTTAATCATGGAACAAAAACTGTGTTGTACATATCACTGAGATAGAAAAGATGGTGGCTGCTGATCAAAATATTTCCTGAATCATACTCTTGATACCTAATTTCTTTTTTTTTTCATCGTCCCATGAACAAAAAGCATAATTTTGTCTCTTTATGTTAACAGGAGTGTGTTGTTTTAAATGAAGCCTGCTAGGCAACGAGTTTATTGAGCGTCCTTTATTAGTTGTTTTTGTGTTGTAAATCTGAACTTGTGAACCAATGAAGAAAGTAGCTGATACAGTTCTAAGATCTTGACACTAATGACCTATTTAATGGTCGACATATTTTAATGCTAAAAAAGTAGGGTAGGTTTCAGTTTAGTTTAGTTAAGTCTTTGTTACTTTAGACAAATTTGAAATATGGTCTCACTTTCATATGACTGGTTCATTATCTACCCTGTTGGCCCAAGGATCTGTTTACCAGGTAAGGGTTTTCCCCAATATTTTAATTCACGTGTTACTTAGTATTCCAGAGACTGGTTCCTTTTACCAAGATGTACCAGGAATTTAACCACACAGTTGAAATAGTTGGCAAACTTCATGATTCCATCTGACACAAATAAGTTAACAACATTTAAATGACTGTATTTTTCAAATGTTAGAAACATGTCATGAATAAATGTCTATTTCTAAACCATTTTTTTTGGTCTAAATCTCGTACATGTGTTTGGACATGTAAGTGTACGTGTGTTTGGGCATGTAAGTGTATGTGTGTTTGGGCATGTAAGTGTTAAGGGTTTAGATGAAAACATAGTTGTTGTTTTTTCTGCTTTTAGTGGTACCAGTGGGTTGTTTTTTTTGTGTTTAGTTGTACCAGGGTACACAAAGTGACCAATAAAAATTAACAAAGCTTTAAACCGCTCCGGGAAATGAAATAACACCATTAATTTGTAAGACATGGTAGGCCTAAAGGGACTGCCCCATAAAAATTGATTCTGAAAAGGGCTCTGCAAGACAAACATGTCGGGAATCGCTTCTTTAAATAGAGTTTTATAACAAATATTTTAAGTGTTATAATAATACTGCACACTGAAAGAAAAAAACAAAACAGTTAAAAATAGTTTTTATGGTTTTATTTAGAATTACACTGCAGGCAAACATGGGATGAGGATATCCCCTTCAGAGATTTACAAACTAGAAATTAACAAGTTGTAGTTAACTTATAATAAGTGAAAATTCTATATCTTTATACCATCAGTTCGGAGAGGCAACATGCTTTGGTATTATCCAGATCTATAATCAAGATGAGATGACAGGCAGCTACAATCAACATCAGCAACTATAACAAATTTACAAAAAAAGTTCACAAAATACATTAAATCTTTATAGGCTATCTTTATCAAAGGCCATATTTTAAATCGGGCTTTTCATGAACTGTCCCAACTCTTTTGATTCCAATACAAGAAAAGACATAGAGAATGGGTCAATGAAAAACATATTAAAGACTTTTAAAACAAGTCACACAAATTTTTTTAAAGCATGCTTAAAAATATAAAATTGCACTGCATCAGTTACTATAGATATGTAAAATCATATATATATAGCAATATATAATATATATGTAATATATTTATTGTCCCTTGTCAAACAAAAGATCTGTATATAAAGTACCAAAAACACACACACACAAAATTGTTTTTGTTTGCAAGGGAGAAGAACTAAGATTAATAAATAAAGCAGCAACATAACCAATCTTTGATTCATAATTCATCTGCTAGAAGATAGCCTCTAAACAGGATAACAATTGGCATGCATGTTCAAACACTGTTTGAAGGCCTCCTGGCAATCATTGATGTCTCTCCAAGGTCGATGGACATGTCTCTCAACAAACTTTAAGTAAGTCAATAAAGTAGTGATGTTACTCTTGCTATTGTTGCCTTCAATGACTGATGTCAGGGCATTCTTATACGAGTCTTCCATTTCTCCCATTTGGAGAAGTATCTGTGTGATATCTTGACTCTGTCCACAAGAGGAACATCTCGCCAACTCCGTCAAGTTACCCACAGGGATGGGGACACAACCATCGCATCTTGTACACCTAAAAATGGGCCTGTCACACTGTATTTCAAAATATTGTGGCCAGTTACCCAGGCACGCTTCACATGAACACCGAAAGAAATACTGAGCCGCCAGGTTGGTTTGCCTTGTTTCTAAATCCATTGTTGGGTAAAGAGCACCATAGTTATCTTTAAGCTCCTCCCCGGCTGTTATGCTTCGTATGGCCCTTGCCACACAGATATTACCGTATGAATGTCTGACAACGGAAGGATCACATGAGTGGTTGATCAGACTGAGCACTGGGTACGCCCCGGCTGCCAACTCAGTAGTTGTAGACATGGCTGGGTTGGCAAGAATCAAAGCAAATTCAGAAACTTCATGTGCATTGCAAGGTAGCATCATGGAATTTCTCAAAAGGTGGCCGCCAATGCAATATTTGTGCTGGAGTGTTTGCTCAGCACTTGGCGAATCTGTTTTCTCCTCAGTCAGACTTTCGGCACACATTTTCTTGTTTTTTGTTACGGATGGTGAGAAAAATCCAATAAACTCCAAATATTTCAGATAGTAGAGAGCAGAAATTGATCTGTTGAGTAGATCATTGAATGTTCGTTTGTCTGCATGGTTAACAAGGCTGTAAGCAGAACGGTAATCCTCAGAGTTGTAAACTCCTTCCTCATCAAAGCCAGCATTTCGTAGACATACTTCAACACGTGATTCTCTCAGCTTAATCAGTTCCTCAAACCCTGCAGATAAAACCATGCGGTTTGAAAGGAAAGACAAATCTCCTTTTGAGTCCTGCAAATTCTCCAAAACTTTACACTCTGCCCAATGAAATTTCCACCAAGCTGCATTTCTGCATTGTAAGCTGCAGAAAACTACTGCGCTGCAATATTTGCAAGGCACGGCCAAGTTAACTCTGTTGCAGCAATACTGGCAGTGGGTCAAGTTGAAATCTTTCAGCAGAGCAGATGAATAAGGTGTTTCTACAATAACAACCTCCCCTACTTCAATGTTTCTGGTGGCAAACAATCCCCGCCCACCGTAGCTATCCAATTTTATTTCAATGGAATCGGCCACACATGGCAGGTGTTTGCTTGGCTCCGACGCTAAGCAGGGAATACCCTTGTGACAACAGTTGTAGCTGCTAACCGATAAATTCATGGGTGGCGACTTGATGGACGAACACTGCTCTATGACTTTAAGCATGTCTGCTATCATACTTTTCTTGTTTTCATCATCCAAGTCGGCTATTTCTAAAGCAGAAATAGTCTGCTGAAAGGCTTTGATGGCTTCCTCTTTGTTGTACATGTAGTACATGCAACGTCCTATTCTTTGGTACAGCTTGTAACATGACTTTGACGGATAGTTGTGTGAAAAAGCCAATTCAATATCCTGCAAGCACAGGGCATAATTCTTTAAGTAAAAGTTTGCTGTGGATCGATTGTTAAAAGCCAAAGACAAATTTTCAGAGTCATCAGGGGCTTTGATAATACTTTGAGTGTACCAACTTATTGCACCTTGATAGTCACCAACTTTAAAGCGCCCGTTTCCTTCAGCTCGGAGTATTTCAGCTTCTCTTTTACACTTAACTTTAAAATTTTCCTCTGTTGTAAAAAGATCTTGAGTTTCCTCTAAATTATAAAGGCAAGCGATTCTTTCATCATCGGAATGACTTGCTGTGAAAGCTGAGACAAACTCTTCATATCTTTTTGATTTTTCAAGTCTTTCTGTCAAAACTGCTAAAATTCTAGAAACACCAGCTTTGTCCATCTGCTGAGACAAAATTAATAAAAATATGATTTTATAAGAAAATTTTTATTTTTTGCAAAACTGCAACTCATCACTGCTTTATTTATTTATAGGAGATGACAATACAAGATGTCTACTAATTAGAAGGTACGAGTTATAATTGTAACACTATGAGTGTTTAATAAATTTATATACAGAGCAGCTTATTAGCCCTACTCATTATTCAAATTCATGAGCCAAAGTACTTAGACCTAGATACCAATGAAACAAGGAGACTACTACTTTTTTTGTATCGGAAATGGGCGTCGGCGCCGAAAAATCTGAGTTTTTAATTTTCTGATGTGTGTGTCTATTTATTATTAAATATAGTTTGACATGTAGTTAGTCCTCATAAATTCAAGACTATCTATAGCCAAAGGCAAAGGGTGATAATCAGTAGGTCTACAACAGATAATTATATTTTATTTTTATGAGTTTATCTTGGAGCCATGGCTACTTGTTTCTAACATAGAATTTTAAAAATCTAAGTTGAGGCTTATTTAACTTATAAGTTATTAACTGTTAACTTAAAAACTAATTAAAACGTAGGGACAAATATGATAATACGAATAGTGAATACTGAATAATAGTAGTACTAATTAATAAAGACTAATAATACTTAGTAATAATAATTAATACTTTTTTATTTTATATATCATAAATAAATATATGAGATGAAGGTATAACATGAGTGTGATGACTAGTTTTACTACGACTACGTCTATTACTACTACTTACTTAGTAGGCTTACTTTGTATTGTGACTATTAAATAGTATTATTGACTAAGACTAAGTCTTCTAAGTTTTGTTGTTTTGAATTGAGAATGAGAGGCTGAGCCAACTCGCCAAACTGCAAGGTTCTAAGTAAGCTTATCATCTTTTATTATGTTGTCTATTTATTTAAATCACATAATCAGAATCTCACCTCCTGATTAAGTAACCCAACTTTTAATTGAATTGAACACAAAATCTCGTCCAGGGATCGCACAGAATAGTGAAAAGTTTATTTACTGACATTTAATTGTCTTATCTTATTTTCCATTTTAAGAGAGCTCATTTAAGATATTAAAAATGTACTTTCTAAAGCTTAAAGAGGTATGGCCCAATGCAGTCTTTTTTCACCGAAATATTTTTGTTATTAACTAGACTCTTAGAGCCTATTCCCCTGTGACACTAAGAAAAATCATAAATATATATATAATTTCTTTTTGAACGCACTATACTATATACTATGGTAAAACAAAATAATGCGTTCAAATTGAAATTTGAAGCAAAATTAGATCGTATGAACTGAAAATAAAATTCGATAAAATTTCCATTCGACCAACCCGAATTTAAAAAAACCTTGATGTACTCCGACAGAAAATGCCATTTTCTCTTTCCCAACACAGCTTTATGTATTCGTTACACCACTCGTCTCACTGCCCCACTGTCTCATTGTCCCACTGTATCACTTAATCACTGCCCCTCTGTCTCACTGTCCCACTTTCTCATTGTTCCACTGTCTCATTGTTTCACTTCCCCACTGTCTCACTGACCCCCTGTCTCATAGTGCCACTGTCTCATTGCCCCACTGTCTCATTGTCTCACTGCCCCACTTTCTCACAGCCCCACTGTATCACTGCCCCAATGTCTCACCGCCCCACTGCCACATTGTACCACTGTCTCACTGTCTTACTACCCCACTGTCTCATTGTCCCACTAACTGTATTATTGCGCCACTGTCTTACTATCCCACTTTCTCATTGTCCCACTGTCTCATCGCCCCATTGGCACATTGTCCCACTGTCTCATTGTCCCACTGTCTAATTGTCCCACTGTCTCATTGCCCAAATGTCTCACTGCCCCACTGTCTCATTGTCCCATTGTGTCACTGTCTCATTGTCCCACTGTATCACTGTCCCACTGTCTCATTGTCCCATTGTCTCATTGCCTCACTGTATCACTGTCTCACTATCCCACTGCCCCAATGTCTCAACGCCCCACTGCTTCATTGTCCCACTGTGTCACTCTATCACTGTCCCACTGTCTCACTGCCCCCCTGTATCATTGTCTCACTGCCCCACAGTACAACTATCCAACTGGCCACATTCTCACTGCCCCACTATCTCACTGCCCCAATGTCTCACCGCCCCACTACCTCATTGTCCCACCGTCTCACTGTATAACTGCACCACTATCTCACTGCCCCATTGTCTCATTGTCCCACTGCCTAATTGTCCCACTGTCTCACTGTATTACTTTCCCACTATCTCACTGACCCACTGTCTCACTACCCCACTGTCTTACTGTATCACTGCCCCACTGTCTCACTGCCCCACTGCATCATTGTCCCACTGTATCACTGCTTCACTGTCTTAATGTCTCACTGTCTCACTGCCCCACTGTCCCACTGCCCCACTGTCTCACTGCCCCACTGTCTCACTGTCCCACTGTCTCACTGCTCCACTGCATCATTGTCCCACTGTCTAACTGCCCTACTGCCTCATTGTCCAAATGTCTCATTGTTTCACTGCCCCACTGTCTCACTGTCCCACTGTCTCCATGTTTCACTGTATCACTGCCCCGATGTTTCACTGCCCCACTGCCTCATTGTCCCACTGCCCAACTCCCTCATTGACCCAGTGTCCCAATGTCTCACTGTATCACAGCCTCACGGTCTCGCTGTCTCAATGTGTCACTGTATCACTGTCCCACTCTATAACTGCCCGACTGTCTTTCTGTATAACTGTCCACTGTCTCATTGCCCCACTGTCTCATTGTTCCACTGTCTCACTGTATCACTGCCCCACTGTCCCACTGTCTCACTGCCCCACTGTCTCATAATCCCACTATTCTCAATGGCCCACTGCCTCATTGTCCCACTATCTCTCTGTCTCACTGCCCAACTGCCTCATTGTCCCACTTTCTCACTGCATTACTGCCCAACTGTCTCATTGTCCTACTGTATCACTGTCTCACTGACCCACTGTCCTACTGTTTTACTGTATTACTGCCCCACTGTCTCTCTTCCCAACTGTCTCACTGTCTTACTTCCCCACTGTCTCACTGCCCCACTGTCTCACTGCCCCACTGTCTCACTTCCCCACTGTCTCATTGTCCCACTATCTCACTGTATCACTGCCACACTGTCTCACTGCCCCACTGTCTCACTGTCCCACTGTCTCACAGCCCCACTGTCTCAATGTCCTACTTTCAAATTGTCCCACTGTCTCACTGCCCCACTGTCTCACTGTCCCACTGTCTCAATGACCCACTGTCTCATTGTCCCACTGTCTCATTGCCCCATTGTCTCATTGTCTTTCTGCCCCACTTTCTCACAGCCCCACTGCATCATTGCCCCATTTTCTCACTGCCCCACTTTCTCACTGCCCCAATTTCTCACTGCCCCACTGTCACCCTATTTCATTGTCCCAATGTCTCACTGTCCCACTATCTTAATGTCGCAAATTCTGACAGCCCCAGAGTCTCAGAGCCCCACTATCTTACTGTCTCAATGCTCACTGTATCACTGTCCCACTGCCCCCACTGCCCCACTATCTCACTGTCTCATTGTCCCACTGTCTCATTGTCCCACTGTCTCACTGTATCACTACCCCACTGTCCCACTATCTCACTGCCCCAATGTTTCACTGTCTCACTGCCCCACCGTCTCATAGCCCCACTGTATCACTGCCCAACTGTATCACTGCCCCACTCTATCACTGCCCCACGATCTTACTGTATCACTGCCCCACTTTCTCATTGTCCCATTGTATAACTGTATCACTGCCCCACTGTCCAACTATGGGACTGTCCAACTATCTCACTGTCTAATTGCCCCACTGTCTCACTGCCCTAACGTCTCACCACCCCACTGTCTCATTGTCCCACTGTCTCTCTGTATTACCGCCCCAGTGTCCCACTATCTCACTGCCACAATGTCTCACTGCCCCACTGTCTCACTTCCCCAATGTCTCACTGCCCCACTATCTCACTTCCCCAATGTATCACTTCCCCACTGTCTCATTTCCCCAATGTATCACTGCCCCACTGTCTCACTTCCCCAATGTATCACTGCCCCACTGTCTCACTTCCCCAATGTATCATTGCGCCAATGTATCACTGCCCCACTGTCTCACTTCCCCAATGTCTCACTGCCCCACTGTCTCACTTCCCCAATGTCTCACTGCCCCACTGTCTCACTTCCCCAATGTCTCACTGCCCCACTGTCTCACTTCCCCAATGTCTCACTGCCCCACTGTCTCACTTCCCCAATGTCTCACTGCCCCACTGTCTCACTTCCCCAATGTCTCACTGCCCCACTGTCTCACTTCCCCAATGTCTCACTGCCCCACTGTCTCACTTCCCCAATGTCTCACTGCCCCACTGTCTCACTTCCCCAATGTCTCACTGCCCCACTGTCTCACTTCCCCAATGTCTCACTGCCCCACTGTCTCACTTCCCCAATGTCTCACTGCCCCACTGTCTCACTTCCCCAATGTCTCACTGCCCCACTGTCTCACTTCCCCAATGTCTCACTGCCCCACTGTCTCACTTCCCCAATGTCTCACTGCCCCACTGTCTCACTTCCCCAATGTCTCACTGCCCCACTGTCTCACTTCCCCAATGTCTCACTGCCCCACTGTCTCACTTCCCCAATGTCTCACTGCCCCACTGTCTCACTTCCCCAATGTCTCACTGCCCCACTGTCTCACTTCCCCAATGTATCACTGCCCCAATGTCTCACTTCCCCACTGTCTCACTTCCCCACTGTTTCACTGCCCACTGTCTCACTGCCCCACTGTCTCACTTCCCCAATGTATCACTGCCCCACTGTCTGACTTCCCCAATGTCTCACTGCCTCACTGTCTCACTTCCCCAATGTATCACTGCCCCACTGTCTCACTTCCCCAATGTATCACTGCCCCACTGTCTCAATTCCCCAATGTATCACTGCCCCACTGTCTCACTTCCCCAATTTTTCA